GTTGCCAAGTGTTGTTCTTATGTAGTGTTTTTGTGAGCAGGTAAAGCGTGAAGGAGATGATGAGGTGTTCGTGATATTAATTTACGGTCGATAGTGAAGGTGACGTAAGGTGAGAGATAAGGACGATTGATTGTGTATATTTTATGTAGAGGATTTAATTATTATGTAGAGGGTGTAGCGGTGTGTAGTGTATGTGTAGTATGTGTGTAGGGGTGTGTAGTGTATGTGTAGTATATGTAGCGGTGTGTAGTGTATGTGTAGTATGTGTAGTGTATGTATAGTGTATGTGTAGCGGTGTGTAGTGTATGTGTAGTGTATGTGTAGCGGTGTGTAGTGTATGTATAGTGTATGTGTACTGGACACCATTAATACACCATACATACCATTTACTTCAGGCTTACCACACTAATGGGTAATGGGTGAGATCCAGCATACAGCCACCACGCTAATGGGTCGCTGAATCTACACCTGTACCCGTGGCTGTGTACATCACCTACCTACACCCATACCTGTGTAGCTGTGGCTGTGTACACTGTGTAGAGGAGCTGTATTGAGGGTGTATAAGTGTTGACTGTCGTGTGTACTGAGTTCATGGGTGTTGTGTAAGATTATTGAGAGAGATGATGAGTGGTAAAAATTTGATCAAAGGAGAATTTTGCTACGTAGGAGAGGCTGCTGAGAGAGAAAGGAAGATAAGAGAGGAAATAGGAAGGGAAGAAATGGGAAGGGGGGGGGCAATGGGAGGGGGAAGGGAGGAAAGAGGGGGGACGAGGGGAAGGGGATGAGGTTGTAGTTGGTGACTTTCCCGTCGTTCAGTAATTATTCCCCGCCGCGGCCTCAGTAGCGATCGTGTTGGTTGGTTAGTTGTGGTAGTGTTTGTCTGTACGCATAAATGTATTGATTTACTGAATAATTTAAATAGTTGTCATTCTAGAGTTAATAAGAAGAAGAAGAAGAAGAAGAAGAAGAAGAAGAAAGAAGTAGAACAACAGCAACAACAACATAAATAATAACAACAACAATAAGATAAATAATAACAAAAATAACAACAAGAACAAACAACAACAAATAATCTCCCTTCAACATTCACAACTAAATAACAACCGACCTTTTAAATAACACAAAATTACAGTAATGGATATTTTTCTGAATGAATCTTTGTAATTCCTGTATTCACCCCCATTAAGGTCCACCCAGCTGGCCCGTCCTCCGCCGTGGGTCCACATCCCATTGAATATTTCTCAATTACTCGAAGGTAAATAAACTGTCCTTGTGAATCAACTGAAGGCATTTGTGTATATACGCTGGTAATGTTATCTGTGTGTGTGTGTGTATGTCTCCCTCTCTCTCTACTCTCTCAGGTCAGGCCAGATAACTAGGTTCACCACTGACCTCACACACACACACACACACACACACACACACACACACACACATTAAGTAAGCCATTTGAGAAGTATTTTAAACTTACACTTAATGGAAAGATATAACTTACATCCCTTTGAGGGGCTCGACACCATGTACCGCCTTTAACAACTACACCGTGCTGCCAGTGAGCCAAGACCTGGCGCTGTGTGGGGGGGGGGGGATATTTTTATGTATGTATTCATAATTTTCTGTACGTATATGTGCACATTAATTTATATATGCATATGTGTCCAAGTATAGTATATGTATATTGGTGTATGTATGTTTTTGTGTATATTATATACATATAATGCCAACAAGGGAAGCTCGGAGATTAATCTTTAAATATTAACTTTTTTTTGCAAATAGGAATAACTAATTTTGTTACAACTTAATGGAAATTAATTGGGATATGGTTAGGTTCGGTTAAACTAGGTTAGATTAGGTTTTTCTATGAAACTATTTATTTGTATGTGTTAATATCTGCTTGATATCTACAGAAGTTTAAAAGATAATAACTACATATCATTTCTTTCGCTATTTGACAGTTATCCCAATTTAATGCAACATATACCTGGAGGTACAATATATACCTACGACACAGGTGTACATCTCGCGTGTCTCACTAAGGCAGAAGTACATTAGTGAGTCAGTTTTTAACATCCTAACCTTGTCACTACCAACTCACTCACTCACGACCGTGTTGGTGTGTGTGGGGCGAGGGAGGTGCGGGGTGGCCTGGAACAGCGGAGGTCAGGTCACGACCCCCTGGTCTGGCGTGAGAGGGAGCTATATAAGCATGGACGTCTCGGTGACAGAGTGCAGTTGGTCGATACCTTCCAGTGCGTCATCATGGTTTGTAAGGTAAGTGTAGCACTCTGTCTGGCACTCACTCACTCTATCATTCCATCACTCACTCACTCACTCACTCTATCATTCCATCACTCACTCACTCACTCATTCTACTACGATGAGGGAAAGAGGGGTGTCAGGGCTTTAGGACGAGGGGAAATATGGAATTAAATTAGAGGGAAACAACAGTACCATCAACCTCCATATATCTTCTAATAAGGAAATATTGTAGGGAGTAAAGAAGCTCAGGGCGAGGGGGAGATTATGACGTAGGCGACTGTCTTGATAGTTGTGCTGGATAACAGGAGAAGAAGCGACCTTAGTAATGACTTGATAACAGAGATAAGGAAGATCTACGCCAGGGAACAGAGAGCGAGGCAACGACGAAGAACAGTTTCATAGTTAACAAGACGAAACCAATATCGATTTTTACAAGTTTTTTATGAATATATGTATTAATATATGTCTAAAACTTATGTATACTGATAATATAGCCCTTTAATATACACGTATCTTATCAGTTAGTAGAATATAGCTATGACGTAGATGAAGAGTGAAGGTAGAATTGAAAGTTGTAGTAGACAAGTTTTCTGCGTAACTCAGGGACTACAGTAGACAAGTAGGGAAGACTATCGTAGATCAAGAGAATGTTTCGATATGGTTTTGTGTGTTGTGAAGACATACACTCGAAGGTAATTAATCATAGGCTCTAAGGCACAAAAAACAACAATAATGAATCAATTGTTAGTTTATTATATCATAGTTAACCCTAAAAGCTCCCAACAAAGCCATAGTGACTAAACAACTCCGTACCATTATGACAGTAACTGGAGGTGCGACAGCCATCCTCCCTACCGCTGATAATACCGTAGTTACCCCTACACTAAGCTCTTATAATTTCCGTTTTCTTTGATCTTTTTTGTTTTTTTTAGATTCGGATTATTTATTCAAACACAAGAATAGCAATTGAACGATATATTACGAATTTATCAGAGAAAATAAAGATGAAAATGTCGTATCAATTGGCTCCAGCGACCAACTCATTTTTGTAGCAGCGACGAGAACATGATAAAATTTCCCTGGAGGCATTTTGGCGCCAATTCGAAAACCAAAATATTCATAGTGTTTTTTTTGGCACCGTCAGAATACAAAATTGTTCATGAGGTCTTTTTTTGGTACCATGTCAATGTACAAAAACGTTCATGGTGTGTATTAGGGTAACTTGTTGTAGTTCTTGATATGTGATGAGTGAAGATGTACAACGATCACTTTTATGGGACGAGTTAAGGTGACCCCGGGGAGAGAGAGAGAGAGAGAGAGAGAGAGACAGATGTTTGCCCTTCTCTCTCTCTCTCTCTCTCTCTCTCTCTCTCTCTCTCTCTCTCTCTCTTCACGTAGAATATGAAATTATCTAGAAATAACCAAAATATCATAGCTGGCATTTTTCCATTCAAACTTTCATCTCTATTGATAAAAAGAGTTAAAACAGTTCAAATTAGTTAATATAAGCAAAGTGTTGTTAATGAGGAGAGGTTTGTGTCAGCCTAAGTCCAAACTCTCAACAGATATCAGAAGTTCCCACCAAAAACTCCCAAGCATTGACTAAATACATCAACAAAACAACACTACGATAATAATAGGTTTGAATACTACATTATGACGTGGATTCCCAGTAAGGCATTGTATCCCAGGAGGAGAAAGTATCCAATGCTTTATGTTGCTGTAATTGAAGGGTTCAGATGAGCCTCTCCAAGCACGTAAATCAGATGTGAGTTGACCCCCGGCAGCCAACTTATTGTCCACACACACACACACACACAATACAAGGGCCAGGTCCAAGGTTAACCAGAGGACGACTGGTCAATTAACTAAACGTATTGCGCATAATTAACGTAGGTCGTAAAGGTTTACTCAACGACGAGTCCGAAAATAACTAAACTAGCCAGGGTGGATCATATGAGTCATGCGGTACAACCAGTTTTTTGTTACCCCGGATATCGTGTGCCTGGCAGCGAGTGAGTGTTTTTGTTGCCAGAAGATGAGAAATAATAATGAGTGTTTTTGTAATGCAATTGTCAAACTTTACCGAGTATTCTTCCGTGTTCTTGTGTCTTTGTATTTTATGTTATTTATTATTCTATATTTGTTCTTGCGATGTTTTTATGCGGTTTGTAATTGTAAGTTTGTGGGTGTAAGACCAGGGCGGGTCAGGGGCGGGTCGGGGGCGCACAGGGAGCTGGGTGAGGCGGAATGAAGGATGTAGTCCAGTTAGTTAGCCTCACCCACGCCCTAACCAAGGTCGTGGGCGTGGAAAAAGCCCTGGGCGGCGTCGACACACACACACACACACACATCCTGCAAGCAGTTAAAGTGACCCACACATCCGTTTCCTAGGTGAAGCTCCCAACAGTTACCATGGCGGGTACTGTGGCTCCTGACTACACACACACACACACACACACACACACACACTATAATATTTACGATGATAATTATAATTAGTTCATAATAAAAAATAATATGGAATAATATCACCCATTAATCTATAATTCACCCTCTCCTCTGCTCCTCCTCTTCCCCCCCCACCCCCAGCTTGTTCTCGTCGTCCTTATAGCTGGGGTCTCCCTAACTCTCCCCCAGTACAACTACCAGCGTCCCCAGCAACCCACTGGACTGTACAGGCTGCCCACCACGCCGCCCACCACCACCACCACCACCACCGCCCACCCCGCCCACCACCACCACCGGACCACCCCCACCAAGACCTCCTCCCAGTCTACATCACACCCCAGGCAACCAACATCCGCCCCAAGACCTACAGCGTGAGTACTACTGACGGTGTGTGTGTGTGTGTGTGTGTGTGTGTGTGTGTGTGTGTGTGTGTGTGTGTGTGTGTGTGTGTGCGTGTGTGTGTGTGTGTGTGTGTGTGTGTGTGTGTGTGTGTGTGTGTGTGGGTGTAAAGAGACAGTTTGCCTACAAGTATACTAAGTCTATCTCTCCTACAAAATATTTATACTGTAAATTGTTCCAAAGTCTACGGGCCGCACCCACCACATTTCACTTCAATGCCTTAAAAATTTATCCCTAAAATGTCGAAAATTTACCCTTTAAACAACTTAGACATTTATGGCTAACTGTCTGTGTAATGACTACTTATTGACCACTCCTCCAGGTTAATTATAACGTCTTGAAGGTGAGGTACAGACAGGTGAGAAACATTACTGTGTACACTACTGATGACGTCACAGTAAGACGTCATCATCCTTGGCTTCTTCAAAACAATAGACTAAGTCTCTTTAACATTATTTACGTCACTCAGGAAGTTTTTTTAAGAAACTATAGATTAAATTATCCTGTTTCCTGGTCAGTTTTATTACATGTGAGTGTTTAAATGCGGAGTTTGTTGTCTGTGTGTACGTTACTTCACGCCGCCATGATACACTGCTCACTGTGGAGGTGTTGTGTCGACAGCCTCCTCCCACCGGGCCTATGGAGGGGATGCCTTACGACTTCCAGTGGGGAGTGACGGACCAGGACAGTGGCAACGCCTTCAGCCACGTAGAGAACAGTGACGGCCGAACCACCCAGGGGGAGTACCGCGTCCTGATGCCCGACGGTCGTACTCAGGTGAGTCCGTGTTATATTGTACTGCCCGACGGTCGCACTCAGTTAACTACCACGTCATGCTCTCAGCTAGTTCCATACATCATAATTTATGTATAAAAGAACAACAGAAACACCTCCTGACCTCCCCGGTGTGAGCTAAGTCGTCACATACTCTACTGTCTGCCTCCGTCTGTAGTTACCCAGCTGGTACAAGTGTCAACCATCTGTGATACTTCACCCCCAACACCCATACCATCTGTCAGGTGGCTCACAACCCTCATCTCTCCCTCAGGTGGTGACTTTCTATGACAACGGCGACGGTTTCAACGCTGATGTCACCTACGTGTAGCGGCCCTCACCTCCCCAGGTCCTCAGGAGCGACGACTCCACCTTCAGAACACACGAAGACTCAGACACTGTGAACCTCCACCCTGGGAAGAGATTCTGAACACTGAGGCGCTTCATAACACACTCGAAACATCAAACCCCGACTTCAGCAACTCCTCCAACACCAACTAACATGAACCTCGTACTCTGAACAGCTTCATAACACACTCGAGACACCAACCTTCAACAACTCCTACACAAGACAACCTCCATCAACTCTGAAGCGCTTCGACTCATGTGTTCGGAACTTAAACCAAAACCTCAACAAGATGACAGAAGCCAACGACCACCACGAACCTCCTCCCTCACCTCTCACGACCACCACGAACCTCCTCCCTCACCTCTCACGACCACCCGAACGACTTTCCTCCAATATAGGAAACGTTAGAGAGTTTATTTCCTTCTCCGCTGCTATAGTAACATACCTCTCATAGTGCTTCTCTCTATAATATATAATGTAATATAACAAGAGGCTCCGATATACAAGTTGTGATATATGTGTACAGTAGAGGCTAAGACCCCAACCAATATATAACTAACATATAACTAAGACGATAATATTTCTCTCATTATTCTATTCATCGACAGAATTGGTCAAAAATTCCTTTCTTTATTGACATTTCAGATACGAAAATCATTATTAATATATTTATTTTATTACTTAATACTTTCGTCTTTATTATCAGCCATTTGTTATTTTGCCAATTAAAAATAATATATTCAATTAACCTAACCTGACCTAACCTAACCTACCCGAACACAAAATTACCCCTTTGTGTATTATTGAATTCGTTTTTAAGTAATTTTTATTCTTTTAAAATAATTCCTTCACCTTAATCTCATCCACAGTATTATATGTATATATATATATAATGAATCTCTATGTACAAATTAATTACACCAAATTATATCAACAAATTCAAAAACAGGTAATTACTCAGCAAATATAATCCAGTAATTATTTATTCTATTATTATTCTAACTAGCCATTAACTAACACTATCAATAACAACTACAACAACAAGTATTATATTGATCTTAAACAACAAATGCACATAAAACAACAAACCCGTATCATTCATGTTTTAACCTCCGTCCCTGTAATATTCTCTAACAAACTTTCTATGTACATTCATTTCTATATTTCACTTTAATGGATATAAGCTTCATTATCTCTCTATGTTTGTCTGCCTTATATAGTCGTGTTCTCTATGATAAAATATACTTTATGTTGAAGTGATGTTTTCAGTATCCGACCTTGGTGAAAAACACATATAAAATAGTGTTTGTTACTGCAAGACAACGGCAAAACCTTACTCAACACACAAACGTTCTATAAAAACACAAACATCTACTGAGCTTGTGTGCCTGTGTGTGTGTCTGTGTGTCTGTGTGTGTGTCAATCCAAACGTACCCAAGACGCTTCCATACCAGCCATATACCAAACTTTTCCTCATAACAAAAACATCAAGACAGTTAGACAAAGGAAAGACGAGAAACAGTATTAGATAAACAACTTCATTCATCATTTCCTTCAAACTCATCACAGGTATAATTTACACTACTCATCTTTAGTTAACATCTAAAACAATAAATTCACTTACTTTTTTTTCTTATCTTCTTTACTCTAAATATATTCCTGGTATTAGATTATCTCGTTTCACTTAAAGATCTTCACTGTTAAATACCAAAGTTATTTACACTATGAGATCGGTTACACTACCATGCTTAATTATCGTATATGCATTAGAGAAAACGGGACATCGTCAGGGCTAACTACTTTATAAGAGGATTTCAAGCACTCTACTCGCTTTACGTTCATTTTAGCGTAATTTTCTGGTTATATTTATCCTTCATTTTCTCTACACTTTCTCCCTCATTCTCATGTATCTCTCTCAGTCTCTCAGTCTCCTATCTCCAGTGAGGACTCACAGCACAGTCGAGTTTGTGGTATTTTCTTTCGTCGATTTTCATTTTACTTCAGTGAATTTTCTCCCTCACACCACCTTCTCCTCCCTCCCCTCATGGTATTAAGAAGAAGAAGAATATCCACAACAACAACAACAACAACAACAACAACAACAACAACAATAAGGCTTTGGTGCCACAAACATAAACAAAATAAACATAATCGTAATAGATCAACAAATACCAAATATGTGTGTATGAAGGAAACATTTACTCAACATTATCAAGACGACTCACGAACACAGGTGACAGGAGGTGAAGGAAGACAACAGCTGATAACAAGATGTTTATTGTCCGAGGTAAACATACGTGCGGCGGCCGAGTGAATACAACACTCGCCTCCTATCCTAAGGGTCACTAGTTCGAGGCCGGGGGCACTCCCAATCCATCCAGCTGGAAATGGGTACCTAATTTTACAGTTGGGGAAGTGAAGGCGGTCGAGTGCAGTACCGGCCATGTTGCCTCCTTGTGTATCGAAGGCTTAGTGTACTGTACAGTGTGCTGTATCCACACCGTCCCTAACGGGCAGTATGGGACCAACTCTCACATATGTTACACAGAAGAATATGTACAATACTATTTATAACTTTCATCATACTAGAAATAATATACAATTGACAGTTTGTGTTTTTATCCGTCTCTCTGTTTGTATACGTGTATATGTGTGTTTATGACTGATTAAGTATATGTCTATGAATGTTTGTGTGTATGTATGTGGTTATGTATACATGTGTGGTTGTGTGTATGTTGGAAATATATTTGTACTTGTTTTCATTTTTCATCTGCTTAGTATGTGTGTTTGTGACTGTATTTTGTTGTTGTTATCACGTGTGTACTTGTGTCTACACTCGAGTTAGTCACAACATTAACTATATCACAAACTAAAGACCATCACGTGACGTAACCAACACACAGATGGTTAGTGTCGTTCATCCACCTGGCTGTAGATGACCTCAGATGGCCATACAAGGCCCAAGTTCGACCACATGTAACTGAGAACTATAAAGACCGGACCGTGAACCTGATCTTTGAGCCAAGAAACTTGAATTACGAGGACGACTTGAGGAGGCTGAACATATCATGACTACTGGCGCCACCGCAGGATATTTGAGGGATACGGTCGAGTTCCTTTAACATGATACAAGAGATGTATCCTGAAGACTCCGCTCACCACAACACCGCAGGATGGTCAAGATGGTCATGATACAACAGGATACACAGATTTAAGCTTTCAACAGACGTCCACAACATTAAGCTGAGACCAAAACAGCTTTTTTCACAACACGTTCTGGACTTATCTGAGAAGGGGTCATGTTTACTATTACATTAACCCGCGAATAATCGATTGGACAAACGCTGGGAAGTTTAAAATATTATATTCAACTACAATGTCCTTAAATATGTTGTAAAGCCTCAAGTTTATCCGTCATGGCGTCGAGGAATGTCATAGAAGCAGATGATGAAATAAGTGACTGTAGACGTGGCACCATGCGTGACGTCACTAACACTAAACAAACACTCCATCCACACTCAGAAGCCATCGATAACTCCACAAGATTATCAATAAATGCGATACAAAACCCAGTATATACACCTATACATATGGCAACCGTGGTATATCCCTCCCTGCGTAGGTGTGCAGGTAGATATTAGCACTACAACAGGTAGATGAGGTAGAGTGAGGAGAGAGGAGAGAGGATGAAATTTACTTCTCATAAGTGACTTCTGCTTGATAGCCTTCACCCGCGTCGTAGAATCTCACAACCTGGAAATACGTGAAGAACCGATTAGCTTTTGTTTCTACAGATACTCTAACATATAGACAACTGTAAATCAAATGAATACAGACGTCATTTTCACCCATAACAACATAGAATCAGATCATATTATGTTGATTAATTGTAAAAGAATCTCAAGAAGCATTTTGTAATGAGAAAAAGTATGTAGGAAAGAAATTATTGCTTATTCCTTTATCACCTGAGTACGACCGTCGGTCAGTACAGTATAACACGGACTCACCTGAGTACGACCATCGGGCAGCAGGACGCGGTACTCCCCCTGGGTGGTGCTGCCGTCACTGTTCTCTACGTGACTGAAGGCTACACCACTGCCCTGGTCAGCCACTCCCCACTGGAAGTCATAAGGCATCCCTTCCATCTGTTGAGGACAAACACTCATACTCCTAAGTTCAACACAACTAATAAACTCTTGTCAATTTTATGTCCAGAGAATATTTACAGGAAACTTGACTGGCACTTTCCCACTCTTCCCTGCTATCTTTACTTTACTACAACCTCCCCACCTACAACCTCCCCACCCACAACCTCCCCACCTACAGCCTCCCCACCCTAACCTCCCCACCCACAACCTCCCCACCTACAACCAGATACTCACGGGTCTCGCCACGTTGGGTTGTAGGTTTTGCGCTGCCGCCTGGAGACTCGGCTCTGACGCCAGCGACACCTCGTTCCCTCCTGACGGTGCCTGAAGGTCAGATGGTCGTGAGGGAGCCTGGATGGTGTCAGATGGTCGTGAGGGAGCCTGGATGGTGTCAGATGGTCGTGAGGGAGCCTGGATGGTGTCAGATGGTCGTGAGGGAGCCTGGATGGTGTCAGATGGTCGTGAGGGAGCCTGGATGGTGTCAGATGGTCGTGAGGGAGCCTGGATGGTGTCAGATGGTCGTGGGGAAGCCTGGATGGTGGCAGATGGTTGAGATGGTGACGACACCTCCTGGACGACGTCAGATGGTGTTTGGAGGAGATCCCCGGGTTCAGATGGTGAGGGAATGAGTTCAGATGGTGCCAGGAAGGAACCAGCTGGTGCAGATGGTGCTGAGGGAGTATCGTACAAGCCAGATGGTGTAAATGGTGATACTGGGGTTTTATCCAAGCCAGATGGTGCAGGTGGTGGTACTAAGGGCGCCTCATACAGTCCAGATGGTGCAGGTGGTGGTACTAAGGGCGCCTCATACAGTCCAGATGGTGCAGGTGGTGGTACTAAGGCCGCCTCATACAGTCCAGATGGTGCAGGTGGTGGTACTAAGGGCGCCTCATATAGTCCAGATGGTGCAGGTGGTGGTACTAAGGGCGCCTCATACAGTCCAGATGGTGCAGGTGGTGGTACTAAGGGCGCCTCATAAAGTCCAGTGAGGTGAGAAGGGTCGACGCGGGAGGATTGGAAAAGGTCTGAGGGCTGGTAAGGGTCTGAGGGCTGGTAAGGGCCTGAGGGCTGGTAAGGGCCTTGAGGAAGGAGTAAGTCTTGTATACCAAATTGAGGAACAGCAGAGACGACGGAGGCGATGAAGGCAACACTCATTAACAAATGTCTCACCTGTAACAGTTCAAAAACACAGGTAAGGTAGGGTAGGGTAGGGTAAGTTACCAAGGATTTCACACACACACATACACACACACACACACACACACACACACACACACACACACACACACAAAACACACACACACACACACACACACAGGTTAAGGGAACAAGAGAGAAAGTCATGTACCTCAAGTATTAGCTGGAGTGAACCTTGACCTTAATGTTCGTGTACCCAAGTATTAGCTACACTGACCTTGAGTTGATCACCCTAACACTATTTGGGATGATTAGGTTAGGTTAGTGTGTGTGTGTGTACAGTAGAATCTACACTACTACCATCACAATTACAATAACCAGCACCACCATCCATCACCACTACCACAACCACTAACATCACCACCACTACCACCACTACCACCACAACCCACCACTCACTACCACCACCACCACCCACCACTACCACCACCACTACCACCACCCCACCACTCACTACCACCACCACCCACCACTCACTACCACCACCACTACCACCACCACTCACTACCACCACACACCACTCACTACCACCACCACTACCACCACCACTCACCCACTACCACCACAACCCACCACTCACTACCACCACCACCACCCACCACTCACTACCACCACCACTACCACCACAACCCACCACTCACTACCACCACCACTACCACCACCACTCACTACCACCACACACCACTCACTACCACCACCACTACCACCACCACTCACCACCACCATCAAGGACCTACAGTTCCCTCGGCAACAGTGAAAGTAGATCGGCCAACAATCTCGGGTTTCCTCCTTCGAACCCCCGAAATAATTGACCCTCACTGATACTTTCTCTCCCACACGGTCTCTCTCTCTCTCTCTCTCTCTCTCTCTCTCTCTCTCTCTCTCTCTCTCTCTCACTGCACGTTATGTCTTCTGCACACAAGCGAGGCACTGCACTCAACAGCCTTCACTTCCTAGACGGTAAAGTTAGGTCCACATTTAAAACTGGGATCGAACTAATGACCCTTGGGAAGAGAGGAGAGCGCAGATCCCACTTGGCCACCGCTCGTACCCAAATAATACCGTAAAATAGTTAAACAGATACGTGCATTATATAAACTGTTGTCGAGTCTTATAAGCTGTCATATACCGTCCATACACAATATATACAAAAATATATATATATACATTATAAATTACAATATACATTTCATAATATAAACAAAAATACGTATATACCTCATGAATTATATAACTACTTCTCTACCAAATGATATAAAAAGCCACAGAGTCATAAAACAGACACACATCACGGAGTTATTAAACACACGTAAACAATATTTATAACATTACACAACACTCACACAAGGGGCCATGTTGACAGGGCGGCGGCTCCACCCACACTGACTTCCCTCTATCTTGTCCTGTCATATATATATCACATGTCAACCAGCCGTGACATACAACTTTCACGGAGCTATATAACTCTGTCTTCACATCCCTATATGTCTCTCTATATGATTCCTTCCTATATACCAAACTCAAGTGAGAATTTATTAGTATCGGTACAGTTTTAAGTGTTTAAGTACAGAGGTAAGAGGAATTTACTTAATACTACTTATATTAGTAACTGTGGTACTTAAAACTATTATATTAGTTTATATATCTTAAGGTTTTCGTCTGTTTTTTTTTCACATATATGACAAAAATTTGGTGTAATTTGGTTTTAGGGAAATTTATGGAATATTTTCTTTTTAAGGGGAAACTAACTTACTTTTAGACATGAATTAGGAAGTTAACCTAACCTAACCTAACCTCCCTGTTACAACCTCCCTGTTACAACCTCCCTATCACAACCTCCCTATTACAACCTCCCTATTACAACTACCCTATTACAACCTTCCTATTACAGCCTCCCCATTTCGACCTCCCTATTACAGCCTCCCTATTACAACCTCCCTATTACAACCTCCCTATCACAACCTCCCTATTACAGTCTCCCCATTTCGACCTCCCTATTACAGCCTCCCTATTACAACCTCCCTATTACAACCTCCCTATTACAACCTCCCTATCACAACCTCCCTATTACAACCTCCCTATTACAACCTCCCTATCACAACCTCCCTATTACAACCTCCCTATTACAGCCTCCCCATTTCGACCTCCCAAGGGAGAAGTTAGCTGAGTACCTTACCTATCCTCCCCGTTAGAGTCGTTAAGAGTCATTACGGCCGGTGGTCTCCTCAAGCACAGACCAGCGGCAGAGGGAAAGTTGTCTCGTGTGTTTTGGAGGAAAGTTTTACTGAATTACGATACTTTCTCTGGGGGAAAGTAGGTGATTTACGATGAATTGAAAACTGTTGAAAATATTAGAAAGTTTTTTTGGATTTTGGGGTTAATGGTGGGGATACATATATGGTTATTGGTATACATTGATGCACATATTGTATACATAAACAAGCACAGATATACATACAGTATATATGCATAACATTGATGGTAGAAATATACATACACACATACGTATAGATACTCTGGTATACACACATAAACACGTACACATACATATACACAAACTGGTGAACACATACACACATACACATCAACGTATTGGTACACACACACACACACACACACACACACACACACACACAGGTAAGTTATGAGGCGGAGGTGAGAGGCTGTTGTCTGATGACGTCACGACCTGTCACTTTCTTTCACTGTCACTTTCATTCGTGTCACTGTCGCACTACACGTGACAGTGGCAGTGCTAGTTGTAGTAATAGTCATAGTGATAGCTGTAGTAATACCCCCTGGCGTTACCACTACCCCTGCCCCGTGACACCACTACCCCTGCCCCGTGTCACCACTACCCCTGCCCCGTGACACCACTACCCCTGCCCCGTGCCACCACTACCCCTGCCCCGTGCCCCGCGCCATCATTAACCCCGGGCACCACAACTAACCTCCCTCTTCCTCCCTCGTGACTTTACTCGCACCTTCACGACCACCTTCCTGTAGCAGGTGAGAATGTGCTGCACCTACTGTAGAGCCTCCACACCTGCTATAGGGCTTCCACACCTGTTATAACGTCCCCACACCTGCTATAACGTCTACACACCTGCTATAACGTCTCCACACCTGCTATAACGTCTCCACACCTGCTATAACGTCTCCACACCTGCTATAACGTCTACACACCTGCTATAACGTCTCCACATCTGATATACGTCCCCATACAACACACACGTCAGCGAGGCGCCTCTGGATTACACCCGCGATCCGTTCATTATTGTTTCAACCTCAATATAAATAGTTCTACCATTTTCTTCTGTTTATATAGCGACGGATATAACATTTTACATGATTTTCTAATAATATATACATTGTTGTTTTAGGTAAATGTTATATGTTTTATGTTTCATTATTTTTTCTTTAATGTTGAATGTTTGGACAGGAATAATATTTCGTTTCTCTGTTACAGTTACTTGATATATAAACAACACCATGACAGGTAGGATACGAGACTATATATGTATATATTTTTTTTTAATTATTGTCAAAAGAGCAAAAAGAAGAATACATAAAATAATAATAATAATAATAATAATAATAATAATAATAATAATAATAATAATAATAATAATAATAATAATAAACATAGACACAAGAAATAAAATTAATTCACAAAAACCTTCAAATTTATTCACTTTTTTCCCTGATAAACCTTGACTTTTTCCCCCAACTTAACCTCAATAAAGACCACAAGTGGCCCAATAAACTCTCTTTATTTGACCGTCCCAATAACCCAGTTCTTTATTGTCATCGTCCCGTTAAAAGAGAGAAAACCCGATTAATCCACCTTCGATAATGGCCGCAGTAATCTATTCATTAAATCCCGAACAAAATCAATAAATAAATACTGTAAATCCGGGTTATATGGCTACAGCAATCCGCTTTATATGGTCATCCCAGTAATCCAGTTCCTGAAATGTAATCCGGAATAAAAAAATCGTATCCAGTTAAATCCACCTTATATAATCGCCACAATAATCCATGGCCACGTAACATGAAACTAAAACCGTACAAGAAGATTAAATCCACCAAATCTGGATTATACGACCCTCCCAATAATCCAAGGTCCCGTAACAAAATCTCCAAAAGATATTAAATCCACTAAATCCGCCCCAGTAATCCAGTTGGCAGTAGTGTGGATGAGGTGGTCGTGAAGGGAGGAGGTGTTGTGTTAGTTCACTCACTAGTCTGCCTGGGAGGAGTAGCGTAGGGAGAGATGGGTCAAGGTGAGGGAGGGAGGGAGAGGGAAAGAGGGGGATAGGGGGGGATGGAGAGAGAAGGGGTTGGAGGGAGTGAGGAAGGGAGAAGGGGAGTTCAAAAGGAGGGGGGATGGAGGGAGAAGGAGGTAGAGAGAGGGGGGAAGGAGAGAAGGAAAGAGAGGAAATAGAGAGGGGGTGGAGAGAGAAAGGGTTGGACGGAGAATTAAAGAGGAGGGGAAGAAGAAAAGAGAGGGATAATGATGGAAGGAGGCAGGGGAAGGGAGGAAGAGGGAGGGAGAAAGAAGAGGTAGGAGAGGGAAGAAAGGGAGATAAAGAGAGAGTGAAGGAAGGAGTAAAAAAATGAATGGATTAAAAGGAAAATTAACCTAACCTAACATTTCTATTATTTTTTTATCTATCCTAAAACTTCAAAATAAATATATCTACTTTCTGAGCTTCAACCACTGGAGAAAATCACTTTACTTGAGTTTCCCTTAAATTAAACAAACTTATGACCCGTTTTCTGTGATGTTGTAACGCACACTTGAGATGTAAACACACACTCAGCTCTTAACGCAACGCGATTAAAAGTTTCTCTAATCACACACACACACACACACACACACACACACACACACACACACACGAGGGCAGAAAATATCCCCAAAATGTTTGTGCTTGTCGTTCCATTTATCTGGTCACTAAATCAGCCTCAAACACAAGTCCTTGTATGTGTGACCTTCTGTGACGTCCTGTGACCTACACTTACACCTACACACTTACATACACACCCACCCATTTACACACCTACCAATCTACACATGTTATACACTTCCATACCTGCATACTCACACACCTATATATGTACATTCACACACACCTACACATGTACATTCACACACACCTACACATGTACATTCACACACACCTACACATGTACATTCACACACATCGCCCCTACATTCACTCTTGCTTGAGGTGTTCCAGCCCTGAAGGATCTGTAGAGAGAGAGAGAGAGAGAGAGAGAGAGAGAGAGAGAGAGAGAGAGAGAGAGAGTCGTCCAGGTGAGCCACTAAATAATAAGACTTCCCTCCACACAGGTGACCATCTCCCTCCCAGGTACTAATTAATGACATCACAACACCACCTCACCTGAATGACGGAACTACAACCACAACTACAACAATATTAACTGAACTAAGCATCTACAACCACGTCACTACACCCATCACTCGTAGTTTACATATAACATTTTCTACAACTTATCTACAACATTTCTCCAACAACTCTCCATCATCCCTCCAACAACATCTAACTTCTCTACAACACCTCTACAACACCTCTACAACACCTCTACAACACCTCTACAACACCTCTACAACACCTCTACAAAATATACTCAGTAGTTCAGGTTGTAGATTCCAGATAGCTTTCCCTTTGTACTAAAAAAAATATATAAAATAAATTGAATGTAGAGAATTATAGGTGAGTCGAGTTATAGGACCTCAAGGCCAGATGAGGAAGCTTGACCTCTAGAGTAGTCTCTCCTCCCTCCTACCCCCCCCCCCTCCTCCTCCTCCTCCGCGGGGTATATAAAGGTGCAGTTCCCAAAGGTGAATATCAGTCTGTCCAGAGATTTTGTGGATCTTCGCTAACATGTCTTTCAAGGTGTGTATGTGTGTGTGTGTGTGTGTGTGTGTGTGTGTGTGTGTGTGTGTGTCTAGTTCATGGTGTTCTAGAGTACTTTAGTTTGTGACCCAGAGTTTTTGAGAGGGTGACCCAGAGTACTACAGGTGTTGAATGAGTCAGCTGATTGGGTTAGAAAGTAAGGAATTTTTGGGGGAGTCATTTTCTATAAAGGTAAAAGTAGGGGAGACTTCAGCCTCACAGGTAAAGGTGATTGACAAGAGTAAATTAACACAGGTGGACGCAGCATACCTGAGTGTTTGGTTAATACTGTGTAGCACTGTCTTGCACCTACAACACCCCGCTCCTCACTGGCCTTTGTGTTGCTGACAGTCTACAGACCTTTAATAGAAAATCATTGTTGTTTATTAATAACAAACAGAGAGATAAGAAGGTTAGAGACAGACAGACAGACAGACAGTATGGATGTTTATATTATACATTTATTGTTGTTGTGGTCAGGTAGTGGTGGCGGCAGTGATGGTCGGGCTGGTGGTGGCGGCCCCCCAGTACGACTACGAGCCCCCCCAGGCCCCCTCCTCCCTCTACGAGACCCCGGCAGAGTCGGTGCAGGAACCCGTGCAGCTGTACGAGGCGCCCTCTAACAATGTGCTCATCGCCCAGCCTCAGAACCTCGTCCCCGACGTCGTCAGTCCCGTGAGTCACGTCAGAGTACTGTACAGTGTAGCTCCTGCAGTGTAGGATAGTTTACAGTAAACTTACTGGGTATACTGAGGTCATGTGTGTGTGGTTTACAGCCGCAGATGGAAGGGATGCCTTACGACTTCCAGTGGGGGGTGGAGGACCAGGACAGTGGCAACGCCTTCAGCCACGTAGAGAACAGTGACGGCAGCACCACCCAGGGGGAGTACCGCGTCCTGATGCCCGACGGTCGTACTCAGGTGAGTCCGTGTTATACTGCCCGACGGTCGTACTCAGGTGAGTCCGTGTTATACTGACCGACGGTCGTACTCAGGTGAGTCCGTGTTATACTGTACTGACCGACGGTCGTACTCAGGTGAGTCCGTGTTATACTGCTGCCCGACGGTCGTACTCAGGTGAGTAAACAACATGGGACATCTTAAGTCACCATATTGGTCACGTCGCGTCAACAAGACTTACAATAACAGTGAACAGTGATAAGTTGTTCTCTGGTCAACACTCATTAACGCGAAACCTTTAATTAACAGGTGGTGACCTTCTACGACAACGGCGACGGCTTCAACGCTGAGGTCACCTACGAGTAACTGACCCCTGATGACCCCGACACATCCAGCCTCCCTCCTGCTGGGGGTGTGGGGGGAGGGGGGACACGTGATACCTGACTCCTGGCCCTCCGTCACCCTGCTGCTGTGGTCGTCATCTCAACGCAACATTTCACAGCAGTGTTCCTCAGTTCGTTCATCTCTCACTAAAATACTCCTGCCATCCTTAAAAACCTCGAGTGTGTCGTGCAATATCTCTGTTTCTTTAAGTATAATACATTTAAATTATTATTATTATTGTAGTTCTTAAATAAACAAAATAAATATATCTCAGTATTATTTCCACATTTTCCCAAACAATTCTCTCGTCTCTCGCCAAAACAATCACTTAACTCTCCAACAATCTCGTCTGTGTAATGTAATATTGTATTTAATTATATTTCTTTTAAATTATTATTATTATTGTACTTTATTGTTGTCGTTAAATAAAATAAATAAATATACTAATGATGCTTTAAGTATTAGTCATCAACATATAATTTTGTTTGATTTTAAATATACAATACGATACGAAAACCAACTTTGAAAATAGTAATACAAAATGATTGTCTGTTTCGCCGCTTGTCCAGAAACATAGAATGACTTAGTATAAAGAATAAAAGTGAGTACAAGTCAGTCATATCTGTTGGTTGAGGAAGATTATAGTCTCTCTCTCTCTCTCTCTCTCTCTCTCTCTCTCTCTCTCTCTCTCTCTCTCTCTCTCTCTCATTATACCGTCAACTAAACTACAGACACAGAATAAGATCGACTCTAATTTACATATTTTATATAAGAAAACCTTGACTCCCTAACTCTTACCTGAATTAGTGCAGGTAATATCAGGTAATTTAGGTGAATTTAGGTCACAATGCTGTTCACTTTTTAGTTGGTTTTTATATTGAGTTATATTATTGTTCTTACACACACACACACACACACACACACACACACACACACACACACACACACACACACCAGTTCCAATTTCAGGACAAAAAATATGACAATCATTTATACACCACAATCATCTCTAATATAACGACAGACAGACGTTCACGCCCAAACACATCAGACTGTCATTATATATCCACCAGCCTCGTGAAGTGAAAGGTGCAACAGGAACAAAAAGTCAATAGTTTATAAGATACAATTTAGGGAACTTGCTGTCCCGGTTTATTTATGAGGGTTAGGTGTCATCTACTGTACACTACACCATCTACACTACACCATCTACACTACACCATCTACACTACACCATCTACACTACACCATCTACACTACACCATCTACACTACACCATCTACACTACACCATCTACAGTACAAGTTATGACGTCAAAACTATAGATGACACAAGAATTATGACGTCAGAACTATAGATGACACAAAAGTTATAACGTAAGTGCTCATGACGTCACATAAAACTATGACGTCACTTCCGTTTTTCTCCCATAATTCCCGCCATTTCGGTCAAATCAGCTGATATGTTGTCAATAAACACAAGTGACACATTCAAACGCATTTTATTATTATACTAATACAGCATCATAAGAAAATAATTTATACATACATACATACATACAAAAGAATCATTTACATATAAGAGAATACATATGGGAGGAGAAGTTACATGTATAATAATTATGTAGAAGTAGAATTATGTAGAAATAGCTGAGTGTGGTTAAACCTTTCTATGTCAGGTTAAAACTCAAATAGAATCTTAGATTTTTGCGTGTGAGATAGAAAGACTTGAATGTGCTTTAACCCTTTGATTTTTTGGTTTAACTTTTTAATAATTGGTTTAACCCATTCAGTAACTGTTTTAACCTTTTGAATGATAGCTTAAACCCTTTGGTTAATTGGTTAAATCCTTTGATTAATTGGTTGTCGTTGTAATAGGAAAATCTGAACTACTCTATAAATAGGAAAAATAGGTAAAGGAATTACTATATGTATCTTCAGATTATGTTGTGTTGAAATCTGAGTGTTGAAACAAATTGGTGTTGTTCTGTAGTTTTAGGGTGTAATAGGGAGAGATTAATTAGTAAATAAATAGGGATAAGGTAAGACTCAAGGTCCTGGCTCAAGTTGGTTAACTGTGTAGAGACGGCCACGTTATGTAGGGGGTAAACAATGCGTGGGGGGTACACGGGGCGTCCTACAGGTACACGGGGCGTCCCAGGTAGGTAAATCACCCCCCAGCACTCCCCAGCACGTCTATCGCTCGTAGGTGACCTCAGCGTTGAAGCCGCCGCCGTTGTCGAAGAACCTCACCACCTGCAGAAGGACGCCGATAGTCACATGTTACAGGTGTTGAGATAAGGTCAATAGTCATATATAACAGTCTATGGAGGTAATGATGTGGCTGTGTTAGGTGAGGCCCAGTATAACACGGACTCACCTGAGTACGACCGTCGGTCTGTATAACACGGACTCACCTGAGTACGACCGTCGGGCATCAGGACGCGGTACTCCCCCTGGGTGGTGCTGCCGTCACTGTTCTCTACGTGGCTGAAGGCGTTGCCACTGTCCTGGTCCTCCACCCCCCACTGGAAGTCGTAAGGCATCCCTTCCATCTGCGGCTGTAAACCACACACACATGACCTCAGTATACCCAGTAAGTTTACTGTAAACTATCCTACACTGCAGGAGCTACACTGTACAGTACTCTGACGTGACTCACGGGACTGACGACGTCGGGGACGAGGTTCTGAGGCTGGGCGATGAGCACATTGTTAGAGGGCGCCTCGTACAGCTGCACGGGTTCCTGCACCGACTCTGCCGGGGTCTCGTAGAGGGAGGAGGGGGCCTGGGGGGGCTCGTAGTCGTACTGGGGGGCCGCCACCACCAGCCCGACCATCACTGCCGCCACCACTACCTGACCACAACAACAACAACAACTCTATACTACAACATCTATACAATCTGTTGGCAGCTACAACAGAAGCACTGTTTGTGTACCTACTGTAACAACATCTACTGTAACAACTTCTACTGTAACAACTTCTACTGTAACAACATCTACTGTTTCTACACATTGTTGGGATCCTGTTACAAGCTACCAGTATATAATATTAACTCACTACACAATACTACAGTTTAGTTCCTACATGACCACCTGTACACCCTCCTCTAAACACCTGAGACTTTAACCAGGTGTTCAGACATTGATTTTATTGTAATATTTACTATGTGGATATTTCATCGAGTTCTTTATACCCTAAATTAAGGAACAAACACAAACATTGATACATACACCAGCATCCCAAGTTAAAAAACAAGTATCAGAATTAAAACACACTTAGGAATACTTAAGTCCCCCTCCCTCACCATTCTTATTACCACAGTATAGAAAACGACCCCCCAAAAAAATTCTTCACTTGATAAGCCTAACTGTTGAGAGCAGCGGCGGCCCTCACACACCTTGTAAGCCATGATGATGAGGTGTACACGAAAGTCTCTGGACACACACTGATGCTCGGCCACGGAGACGACACACTTTTATACCCAGAAGAGGTGGAGGTGGAGGTGGTGGTGGTGGAGGAGGTGGTGGTGGTGGTGGTGGTGGTGGAGGAGGCTGTGAACTAACCCCGGGGGGCGTGGCTTTCCTATCCTTGATGGGGAAGGAGCCACCTCCCTCCCTACCTCCCTTCTTTAGCTACGCCTACCTTCCTCCCTACCTACGCCACCCAACCTACACCTACCTCTATCCTTCCCTCCCTCTCCGCTATTCGACACATTTATAATATTAAAAAATATAATTATAATCCCTATTACTTATCAGTTTTACTTCTATAATCACTTAACGTCTAATTTAGGATACAAACGGAATAAAAATAAAATAAGATCATTATTTTCCGTGGCGTTGAAATCTCCCAAATCACATTAGTACTTTAATATTGACACAACATAACCTAACCTAACCTCAGAATTGTTAAAGTGTTGAAGATAATTATAAGTTTGTTTATGTGTTGTTGTTGTTGTTGTTGTTGTGGTTGTTGTTGTTGTTGTTGTTGTCGTTGTTGTTGTTGTTGTTGTTGTTGTTGTTGTCGTGGAGTAAATAAGAGTTAATCTCAACAAACTCTTCTTCAGGTTACCGATTTCCTGGATGGTTCCTCGGCCCGGTAAGTGATGTATCTTCTCTGCCACAAACACATAAACATACACACACACATACACATATAAACACATACATACAGCATTTCTATAACACATACATACACATTAACTAGGGAGTATTCTTAACCTAACCTAACCATATTGAGTATTTCATTCCCTTTAACCTAACAACTCTCTCTCTCTCTCTCTCTCTCTCTCTCTCTCTCTCTCTCTCTCTCTCTCTAATCACAGCCATCACACACATTACGAGTTACTTGTCCCACACGTTGTTCAGAGAATGTTCATCACCTGACTGAACTCTACACCTGTTCACACAATTGATTAGAAAGTTATATCATTTGTGCATAACTCTGTGGGTGAACAACTCTACCCCCCCCCCTTGGCCCAGTGCCACGGTGGGTCTTCAACACACATGATGCAATCGTGTCTAGGAAATCCTGCCATGCTAGGTTAGGTCATAGGGGACTTCTTGCTGTAACTCACCGACCTAACCTAACCAACGCATCTCTCCTACACCCTTCCCTACACCCCTCCGTTACACCCACACCCACACACCCTCCGTTACACCCTCCCCAACACACCCTCCAGCCACACCCACACCCACACCTCCAGCCACACCCCTCCCCAACACACACCCTCCACACCCACACCTACACACCCTCCGTTACACCCACTCACACCCTCCGTTACACCCCTCCCCAACACACCTCCGTCACACCTCCCCTACACACCCTCCGTTACACCCACACCTACACACCCCTCCGTTACACCCACACCCACACACCCTCCAGTTACACCCATACCTACACACCCTCCCAACACACCTCCGTTACACCCACACCAACACACCTCCGTTACACCCACAATTCCACACACCTCCCAACACACCCTCCGTTACACCCACACCTACACACCCTCCCCAACACACCCTCCGTTACACCCACACCTACACACCCTCCGTTACACCCATACCTACACACCTTCTCACCTGTCAGTATTTCCGTTTCACTTTTCTAAACTCCTTGACTGACCTTCTGAGTGTCTTGCTGTGTTGCGTCGTAGTCATTATGCAAGGTGGAACAAAATGAGTGTAGGAATCCCTCTCGCTATTATTCATTCTCTCGTTGTTTGTTATTCACTCTTTTATATTCTTATTTATCTTACTACCCTCTCCTAGCCTTTTCCACACTCACTCTCCCACGCTCCCTAAAGCTCTCACTTACTCTCACTCACTTTCCCATTCCCTCACACACACACTCTTCCATACCCACGCACTCTCCCACACCCTCACACACACTCTGACACTCTCCACACCACACACCCTCTCACACTCTCCCACACTCTCCCACACCTCACACACCCCACACCCTCTCACAGTCTCCCACACCTCACACACCCCACACACTCTCCCACACTCTTACGACGAAAGTGAGAGTCGCCACCAGATATTCCCTCACACACGGCCCCTCAAGACCGTAGACTACTGTTGTAATATAAAGAGTTAACCCTTTGACGACGATGATTTAACCCTTTGACTATTATTTAACCCTCTGACGACGATGATTTAACCCTTTGACGACGATGATTTAACCCTTTGACGACGATGATTTAACCCTTTGACGACGGTGATTTAACCCTTGACGATTGTATTTAACCTTTGACGACGATGATTTAACCCTTTGACGACGATTATTTAACCCTTTGACGACGATGATTTAACCCTTTGACGACGATGATTTAACCCTTTGACGCCTGTGATTTAACCCTTTGACGACGATGATTTAACCCTTTGACGACGATAATTTAACCCTTTGACGCCTGTGATTTAACCCTTTGATGACAGTGATTTAACCCTTTGACGACTGTGATTTAACCCTTTGATGACGGTGATTTAACCCTTTGATGACGATGATTACAGGTGTGTTAATCTTAGTAATTTGCATACGGTGGTAGTGTTGTAGTACTGGTGCCTGGAGTGTATTGAGAGAGAGAGAGAGAGAGAGAAAAATCGAGTCAGATATAAAGAAATTTACCTTTTAAACCCACATAAAGTCATTTGCATATAACTCACCTTTAGAACGAAATACCAATTATCCTCAACGATAACATAAGAGACATAAACGACTATTAGATGGATAAAAAAGGTGATTTAGTCAACATTCGTCACTTTTCTCAATGGTAAACTAACTAACCCCAGGTACTGTTAACCCTCGTACTGTTAGGTTAAAATGTATTCCCTTTTGAAGTGCAATCCAATGACCCTGTAGCGAGGTCACAGGGGAGGAGAAGGGGATTAGAAGGGAGAGAGTAAAGGAGAAGGGTGATTAGAAGGAGGAGAGTAAAGGGAGAAGGGGTGATTAGAAGGGAGAGAGTAAAGGGACTGGTTTGATTAAAAGAACAGAGATAGAGAAAAATGAGAGAGAAAGACTGGCCAATCACCTGCCTGCATGACTGACCAATCACCTGTCTCCCCAGTAAGGTCATTCAGGTCAGAGTATAATCACGTTGACCTGATTGGCTTATACCGAGACTGGCGGCCATCTTGGATTATACAACAACAACAACAAACAAAAACAACAAACACCAAACATCAACAAACAATCACAATAAATAAATCACTAAAAATACGTCATTAGACAAATTCTCCCTAAGTGACCATAACTATAATGTCTGTCAAAACATGGCAGATGAATACAAAGAGATAATAAATGGGGATGGTAGAGAAGAAGAGAGATAGAGAGAGATAAAAATGGAAGAAGAAAGAAGGTTAGAGATGAAGCTACCGACCGACCCTCAGGCGGCAGAGGATCCTTGACGTCACACCCGATGCTCTTTTTTTTTTTATTTACATTACTGCGGTTATAGCGGCACGAGGATCTAACTCTCTCTTACTCTATAAAAAAAACTTGAATATCCTCTGAGTTAAAATACTATTATCTATAAAGCGAAGATTTATTTAACTCATTATAGTGGTTGAGTAAGATTACTGAGAGCTATTATATACTTGTTGATTGAATTGGTTAGTAAAGAGAGAGGAAAATAAAAGAGGGTCGCTTGTTGACCTTATTGTGGTAGAGCTCGCTGAGTGGCCGTGTGTAGTGGTTGTTGTCCTGACTGAGGGGCACCAGAGTGTACTGAGAACCGATCACTGGCGACCTTCAGTAGGTATAGTACACTGGTAGGACTATATGCTACCCTAAGCTCGATAACTACCTCAATAACTATTAAATAACATGTAATTATTTACATTTAAACATTAATAAAAAAATTCCAGTTAATAACAAAATATCCTGATTAAATGAACAATACAGAAATAATGAAAAAATTAGAATACAAACAATAATATATGATTATTTTAAACACCAAACAATAATATATTTAATAAACAAAAGATTATTATATACGAGAGATTATTAGAGGTCAGACCCATCCCCAGGTGTGTTAATTACCTGTCATTAGTGTGTCTTACCTTTAATGGGGGTTGTATTAGGGTAAATTATTCGGCTTCGTGGAAAAAAATTAAAATAAGATTGAACACTCTCTCTCTCTCTCTCTCTCTCTCTCTCACTACACCAATTTGTCCACCATGGTTGTTCCTCCACCATAAGTGTCACCCGCCGTCTCACCCAACACATAAACGCCACTAACATGTCGTCTTGGTTGGAGTTGACCTAAAATTACCGCCCGTGTTTATCGCCAGCTTCGCGACCACCCTAAAATTATCGCCAGTCCAGGTATGTTTTGGTTGTGTTCCCTGCTAAGGCTTCTCGGTCGCTTGTTGTGGTCGTTATCGTATGTGTTGTGGTTTTCGTAGACGTAGAGGTTGTTGTCGTGCACGTAAGAGTTGTCGTACATTTAGAGGTTGTTGTCGTACACGTAAGAGTTGTCGTACAAGTAGATGATGTTATCGTACACATGGAAGTCGTTAAGGGTTAAGCTTTTAATCCTATAAGTGGATCACGTCTTATCTCTCTCTCTCTCTCTCTCTCTCTCTCTCCATCCATTCACCCATTCCTTCTACCCTCCCTCCCTCCCTCCCTCCCTCCCTCCCCCCGCCCATCCATCCATTCCTTCTTGTCTCTCTCCTCCCTCCCCTTCCTTCTCTCCTTTCCTCCCTCCTTCCTTCCATCCTCCCTCCCTCCTTCTCTTCCCTCCTTCCCTCCCTCCATCCCAGGACCAACAGGTGAAAATGAAGTCAAGTAACACGAGGGGCTCTGCCTACCTGAAGCCTGGCCGGAGGAAGACAAACTCATCAAAAGGGTTCTGAAAGAGGTCTGAGAAAGGAGTAGAAATGAAAGGTCCTAGGGGCAGGAGATGAGAAGAGCCCACGAAGGAGTGTTGAAGGTCTGGGTGATGTGTGTGT